TTTATTCAAATAGTTCTAGAAAAAATGAACTTTGACCAAAAGTTTAAAAACATAATCAGCTTACTCTTTGCAATGCAAAAAGTACACATAGTGGACTCTGGATTGATTTCAGAGTCTTTTAGAGTAGAACGAGAAGTAAGACAAGAGGACCCTCTCTCTTCTTTTCTATATATACTGGCTATAAACCCACTGATTCAGGCAATTAATCAAAATATTAAAGGCATTCAAATCAATAATTTAGCATTCAAGATAGCAGCCTATGCTAACGATCTTTCAGTAGAAATTAGCTCTCTATCTGACTGGTCCAAACTTTTAGAAATACTAGCAAAATATGAAAAAACTTACTTTAATTCCATTAACAAATATTGCTTGAAGAGTTGAACTACCCAACCAGAATAGGTTTAAGCTCTCTAGCAAAGACCAAAATAGCTTCACTATTTTGGGCTATACTCTCTGGTCCGAAATAACAAAAAGAATTAAAAACAGAATACAAGATCTCGTACTAAAAAATCTTTTCTTCAAGGAAAAAATCCTAGCATCCAAAACACTACTCATCTCTAAAATATAGTACTTGGCCTATCTATTGCCATCTACAAGAAAGCAATTAAATAAAATTAATACTTTAATTACAAACTGGATAAAGAAAAACTCAAGAATATTACCACAATACTCAATCTTTTAACTTAGTATTGAACAAGGAGGGCTAGCTGCTCTGATTTTTAAAGATATGCTTAATATTAAGCTATTGTCAATATGGATTAAACTTCTCTCAAACAATATCTTTTGGGCCAGAACAGAAAGAGAAAAGGCAACAATAAGGCTTCAGAACAAAAGAAAACTATCACTGAGAGTAGCATTATCCCAATCACCTTGCAAAATTAAAGGGTGGCCAGATAGCTGGAAACCTTATATTATGGTTTGGAAAAGGTTTAAAGGTAGCATTAATGCAACCCACACCTGGCCTTGGATACTCAAGCAAATCAAAATAAATAACATAGAAGGACAACAATTCATAGTTAAAAAAGTTTTACAAAGTTGGTATAAACCCACCGAACAGTCTCATGATAACTCAGAAAAGCAGATCGAAAGCCATATACCTTACAAATAGTTAAAAACAAAATGGGTGCTAAACAAGAAGAAAGATATCTTCTGAAGGCTAAATCATAGAGCACTTCTACTAGATTATCACCTAGTGCATATTGACCAGAACAACTTAGAAGACTGCCTGAACTGCCCTTATGTAACTCAAACAATAGAGCATTTTGCTCTAAAATGTCTACTTAGCAAAATTATCTGGGAAACCACATATAGATCACTTAAAAAAGCAGAAAACAACCACATACCTAATATACTCGAAGAAATCTTTTAAGCAACCAATATAAAAAATACAAAAAAAAGAGAAGCCACCACTTGGCTCCATATAATAACAATCTATAAAATTTGGTACTGGTATACCCAAACAAGGTAAGGTAACTCTCTAATACCACAAGAAACGATTGCAGGGGTTATAAACATTAGACTTAAATATGAAATTAATCTTCTATATAAATTAGCTTATCGGAATCTAAATTCCAGGCCTAACAAGGTCAGGTATATAATTAGTTTTATTAAATATTCAATACAAATATGTACTTTAACTTGTAATATTTAATAAAGTATGCTTAAATGCGTAAAAAAAAAAAAAAAAATATATATATATATATATATATATATAAAGTTCTGGTACTTCTGATTTAAATAATTAAAAAATAAAAAGGTTTTTTAAGCAATTTTACTATAAACTATACAAATTTCTAATCTTAATATAAGCTTTAAACCTAATTTATATAAACTTTAAAAGTTTTATCAATATTTTGCACATAATCATATGTAAATAGAATTTTGGTAGTGATACAAAAAAAGACATAAATATACTTACACCCAGATATAAAATATACTATATATATATATATTGTGAAAAGCAAAAATTGCTCTAAAGTAAGTTTTAGTCAGAATAAAAATATCTTACAATAATACTATACAAACTAAACTATTTTAACTGAATTTTAATAGTGGTAAGCTTCAATTGAGGTGTTGGTCTAAGCAACTAGAATTAATTAAAGCTTTAAATTATATCACAGATCAATTAATATAGAGTCACAGGATTTAGTTAGATATTTTACTTATCAGAGATTAGTAGAATAAAATACTTTAAATGTTAATTATTATATTGAAGACAAAAGATAATATTTTATACTTTCACACTATCACTATTAGTTTGTATACAATGAATAAGATCTACTTAAAAAATATTTTATATAGCTATTTGCAACAATAAATTTACTAATTTAATATTTATTTATATAGTATAAGACAGTAAAAGATGTTTAATCTATATATAGAGGTGCCAATTCTTGGTGCTTATATAATTAATTCTGATTGACTAATTGATTCTGATTGGTTAAAAAAATATATATTTTTTCTTTTTTTCTATATTAAATGCTAATTTTTTGAGCTTATATAAAACTTTAATTCTTTATAACTTTTTTTAAACAAAGAATAAAAGGAAATCTTTTGACAAAAATATAGTTTATCTAAAAATCTATTAATTTGTCAGAAGTTTTTTTTATTTAGTTTGTTTTAAAAAGTTATAATATAAAACCTTTGATCGATTGCTTAAAACTCATAATTGAAAAAAAAATAAATTGAGTTTGAAAATATATATAATTAAAATAACCTAGACTTATAGTATAAATATATACCATATATGTTTATACTATAAGCCTAAGTTATTTTAATTATATATAGTAATGAGACTGCTGAGTTTTTAGTTAATAATAAAACAATTATTAATTAGTTAATAATAGTTAATAATTTTGGTAATTGTTAAATAATATACAAGTATTTTAATAACTATATATCGATATTTTGTAATTGTTTGGGTTAAAATTCTGACAAATTATTTTAGCAAACAATTCTGATAACTAAATTTTTGGCAAAATTAACCAGAATTTAGCTAATGCTAATCTAACTTTGTCAAGTTCTATTTCTTGAAATTTTGACTAGCTTTTATTTATTTTTTTTTTTCGGTCTTAAGGTGATCCCTTTGGTCAGTATTTTATTTATGTTTAACAGGTTATTTTTACAATATCAGTCTCGCATCAACTGTACATATATTTCTATATATATAACCTCAAACTAATATTCATAACTACCTTAGAACAATTTTATTCTCGGGGTAAACCTACTAGAGCCTTCCATTTTTTCTACTATTAATAGCTAACCTAGTTTTTAATGTCTTTATAAGGTTCACATAGCCACCACAACCAGGACCCTGGTCCGTAAGCCGTACTAGGCTACTGCTACCTCCTTATTCAGGTCTTGCCAAGCTGGTTTCCATCTTCATTGGTTCTATAGATTTACACAGACACAAGAACTTATTGTGGGTTTGTACTATCTATACCAGCTTGCATTCTTTTGTACAACTCTTCTGTTATACAAATGCTATACGATCTTCCAAATCTTGACTCGGTTTTTAGTAAACCTTCTGAAATAAGCTATCCTGGGTCAGGCACAAACCCAATTTTGGGTATCGATTATTCCAGCCACTATTTGGTCTGACTATAGTTACAGGATCGAATATCCTAACCTTAAGAGGACAATTACCGTAACACAAATAGAAATTCGAATTTTCATCACCGGTAAGGTTCGCACTCTTGACTTGTCACTTGGGGGTGACAACTTGACCACTTCACTAAGTCACTACGCAGCTTTTATTTTAATTGTTACAAAAAAATAATAAATATTAGTAATATAATACCCAGGTTTGTTAAAAAATTTTTGTATTGTTAGTATTTAAATATCACTTCAAAGTAAATTTAAAAGCAAAAAAAATGATTTGGCAATAGTTTAGTAAAGATAATACTAATAGCTATACTATTGCTATATTATGCTACAGTCAAACCCCTCTATAGTCATCTCCTCTATAGTCACAAAATTGGTATAATTACAAATTTATTGTTACCAATTATTTATAACTATATAAAAAATACCTCTATATTAGTTACATCTCTTTACAATTATAGTTTTTTTGTATCCTGAAGGTATGACTATAGAGGGTTTGACTGTATATTATATATTATTATGTAGTTTTTAGTTAATAACTTGTACTTTTAGTTAATAATTATTATTAATTATTAATAATATGGAAGGTTTTATCACTATATATTTAGTTATAAAATAGTTTATTATTTTATTAGTTTATTATTTTGATATTGTATAATTATTAGTTTAATATATTAATTATTTACCAATGGATATACATATCCTACCCCTGTACAAAAAATTAATTGATCATCGTCACTATCATGTGTTATCACATGTAAATGTAGTAGCACAATCTAACCTTTACTTGTGTAGTAGCACAATCCAACCGTTACTTGTGTAGTAGCACAATCCAACCTTTACTTGATCATTATTGTTATCTTTTTTTTAACGCTTCTTTCGCTTGTATTGAAGCCAATGAAAATGCCCTAACTACCGGTAATGACAAATCTAAACTAACGCCCACCCTATAAATACAAGACCAACTCGATACTAAAGACCAGCTCAAGTTAAGGTATTATTAAAGGCTATGCGGCATATATATATCGTTGAAATTTTAAACAAAAAAAAAAAATCTAACTGTGATTTAAAAAATGCGTTTGAAAGACCAACACAAAAATTAAAGCCCAACCCGAAACTAAAGCCCAACCCAATACTAAAGACCCAACCCAATACTAAGGTATTATTGAATGCTATGTGGCATATATATATATCATTGAAATTTTAACCAAAAAAAAAAAAATCTAACTGTGATTTAAAAAATGTGCTTGAAAAACCAATACAAAAACTAAAGCCCAACCTGAAGCTAAAGCCCAACCCAATACTAAAAACCAACTCAATACTAAGGTATTATTGAATGCTATGTGCATATATATATTGTTAAAATTTTAACCAAAAAAAAAAAAAAATTTAGAACAATGTGTTTGCAAGACCAACCCGAAACTAGTGACCAACCCAAAAATAATGACCAACCCAAAAATAATGACCAACCCGAAACTAGTGACCAACCCAAAACTAGTGACCAACCCGAAACTAGTGATCAACCTGAAACTAGTAACCAACCTGAATGTTTATTACTATACCAAAGTATTTATGAAGAATCATATGATGATTTATATGAAGATAGTTGTGGATATTATGAGCCAGAAGATAGTTGTGGAGAGGATGAGCCAGAAGATAGCATATTGAGAGAAATTTATAGTAGACAAACGTTTGTGTTATTTGAAGTACTTGAACAATGTTTAAAGCGATATGCTATCCGAATAGGCTTTGAAATAAGAACTGTAAGAGTGGAAAAAGGCGAAAGTAATTGGGCAAGGAAGACATATAAGTGCCATCATGGTGGAAAATATGTACCAAAAAAAAGGTTGGATCCTACACAAAATAGAGACTAAGAATCAGTCTGTATTGATTGTGAGTTTACAGTAAATGCTTTATATCGTAAATCTGAGAACCTAGTATTTGTTAACAAATTTGTTAATGAACATAACTATCCATTACAAAACCGGGATTCTCTTCAAGAATTCTCACCAGCATTATGTAGGATACCAGACGATATAATGAATGAAATCAAATTTTATGTACAAGAGTGTCAATTAGGGGCTACTGTTTTAAAAAAGATATTAAGAAAAAAGTATCCAGATCAGGACATTTACCGCCAAGATCTTTATAATGCGATACATAAATTTAAAGCTGGTTCTCAAGTTAAAAATGACGCTGCAACACTTCTAGAACATTTAATTAAATTACATTCGGAGGATCCTGAATATTATTTCAAAGTTGAATTTGAGGTATTGATAATAGACTATCCAAAATTTTTTGGATGTTGCCTGAGCAGAAGCAAATGTGGATTCGATACCATGATGTTGTTATAAATGATAACACCTGTAAAACCAACAAATATTTAATGCCCTTAAATATTTTTGTAATAATTGATTCAGATCATAGAAGTTGAATCGTAGCAACAGCAGTAGTTTGTGATAAAACTGTATTAACTTATGAATGGGTTCTAGAACAAACTAAGCATGCAACAGAGAATCTTCAACCAAAAACACTTTTTACTGATGCAGACCCAGCGATGCAGATTGCAATAAGCAACCAGTATCCTAGAACAATTGTGAGACATTGTGCTTTTCATATTCGACAAAATTTAATAAAGAAAGTTAAACCAAAACTTCAAAGTAAATGGGATACTTTCATTAATGATTTCTATGTTATGTGCAATTCACTTACCAGTACAGCTTTTAAACGCTGTTGGACAAATTTAATTAATAAATACCCAGAAGTTCAAAAATATTTTGAACGTGTATTGTATTTGACCAAAACATGCTAGGCTTATGCATTTACCAAACGTAGCTTTTCAGCCAATACACATTCAACCCAATGCGTAGAGAGTTTGAATAGGGTTATAAAATTAGAGGCAAATTCGAGAAATTCATTATGCCAACTCCAGTTCAGAGTTGAATTAAGACTAAAAGATAAAGCCAAATATTCACGATGGCAAGAATTTTGGAATATGAACCCTACTACTGGAATCCCCCGGGTCTCTAATACTATTTTTAATTTGATGGATAAAATATTAAAAAAATATCTTACACCAAATTCGCTGGCGCTGCAACAGAAGCAAATGATAGAAAGCCTATTGTATAGAGTTCGGATAAATGAACTTAAGGATATTAGTATAACAATGCAGAATTCAAATCAGTATAATGAAGGGTTTCTTAAGGATGATTATGAAGAACCTCAAATTTTAATTAACATGGCTTTGGAGAATTGTTCAGAGGGTGTTTTGAGTGAAATATGGGAGGTTAAACATCTTCAAACTATTACAAATAAATCTCAGTATGTGGTCATATTCAATGATGATACACATTACTGTACTTGTCTTTATTTAGTTTACGCAGGATTTGTTTGTAGACATTTTTTTGCCGTGATGCTTCAATCAAAAAAAGCACAGTTTAATATTAAACTTGTGCCTTCCAGATGGTATTCGAAAGAAGGACTTTTGTTAAGAGAAGAAGTTCAAGAAAAATCAATTACACTAATTCAAGTTGAAACTGAATTTCAAACCAGCATGTTTCAAACATTAAATAATATTCGTAGGCAAGAGATATTCGATGAATCTTTTATAAATTTAGATTCAAAAAAAGAAATATATGGCCGTGGTTTTGGGCTATGCAAAAAGGCTTTAAATTTGGCAATCTTAAACAATTCTAGCGAAGCTTTTGAAGAACTTTTACAACAATTTATTAAAAAGCAAAATAAAATGTCTACAGAATCTTCCGAAGATTCTAATAACATTAATAATATCACAGATCTGATTCAGCACAAAGAGAAAGGCCGACCTACAAATAAAAGATACTTGTCAGCTATTGAAAATCAACCTTCAAAAGAAAAGAAGAAAAATAAAAGACAATATGCTAAGTGTAAGTCTTGGTATCATGATTCAAGAAATTGTTCTGAAAAAAGTGATCAGCATGATAAAGAAAATAATTAGAAGCGGGTAGGTAGGGTTTTGCAAGTGTCAGAACAGTACTATATTACAACATAGTGCCTGGTATAAGCACTATATTTTAATATAGTACCGTTTTGGCACTTAGCAAAACTCTAGTTTAGACTCTTTGAAGTTGATTTATCTTATTTAGTAATTGGCTTGTTAAGAAAAAAAATGCATGTATATAACTGATTTGGAAATCATATAATGTATTATCTTACTGATTTATATATTTGTAGATTTTAATTTAGGTTAGCATTTTGTATAGTTAAGTATTAGAAAAATTGATATTCTAATATTTTTATTTGTTTAACCTAATTTTTTGTTTGTTTTTCCTTCTCCGAGTTTTTTTTACTTTATTTCTAGAATATGAGTTGGTGCCAAGCAGATTTATTTAATAAATCTGCCTAACCTGATTTCTATTGGTAGCAACCTATAATCACTAGCGCATTAGGTCAATTGAGTTTTACTGATTGTAAAAAATTAGCAGATATGGGAAATTTTAAGGGAATACTAATGCTTAGTTATGGAAATACTTTTGAATAAGGCATTCAGATACTATCAAATATCTGTAGAATTGAATAATTCTTATGGATGTATAAATTTGGCCAAATTTATCTTAATGGAATTGGAGTTGAAAGGACGAACTTTACTATTTAGGTATAATACAGAAATTTTGGAACAAATTTTGTACACTTCTATCTAAATATTATTATTTAGAGAAGTAGATAGAAGCATGCAAAATTAGGTGTCAAAACTAGTTTATATTAAAAATACGAAGCAAAAATATGTTCTGAATTTGGGTGCTGCGACTAAATTTATACTGTGAAACCATTATAGTTTAAGAGTGTTCATATTTAGGGTTAGGTAAAGACCTAATAAAAACTGTTAACCTGATGTTTTAGGTTAAAAAAGCGTAGCGGAGGCGACAGCTGAAGCGAAGCATTATTTTTTTTTATCATTCTGTATTTATTTATTGAATTGTATTCAGCTATTGACTGTCAAACTATTATAGTCTTAGAGTGTTCATATTTAGGGTTAGGGTAAGGACCTAATAAAAACTGTTAACCTGATGTTTTAGGTTAAAAAAGTGTAGCGGAGGCGACAGCCGAAGCTAAGCGTTATTTTTTTTTATCATTCTTTATTTATTTATTGAATTGTATTCAGCTATTGACTGTGAAATTATTATAGTCTTAGAGTGTTCATATTTAGAGTTAGGGTCAGGATCTAATAAAAACTGTTTACCTGATATTTTAGTTAAAAAGCGTAGCAGAGGCGACAGCCAAAGTGAAGCGTTATTTTTTTGTTATGTAGTTAGAAACTTGCAAATTCAAATACTTGCATGAGAGTATGAGCAATTATGGGTGTGATAAATAAGTATTGGCTATATAAAACATATAACTAATGCTTATTCATCATCCACAATTGGTCACACCCTATACAAGTATTTGAATGGGGTTGAGGGGTAGGATATGTATATCCACCGGTATTAATTAAATTTGTTCTTATTAGTTATTATTTTATGAGAATTGCTAATCTTAACCGGGAGGAATTTTCTGGTTACACAAACACTAATTGATCAATAAAATTATAAAAACAATTATAATATTTATTATATATCGATATATATTTATTTTATATTTATTTATATACTGTAAAATATAATACAAGCACCACTATATAAAATGTATTAACTTATCCTTTCGCCTAATACTAATCTAACCCCTAACCCTCTAGCTCAACTCTTACACTAATCCTGCACTACCTCATCTAGCTCTTATACTAATTCCATGCTACTATAACCCAAATCTATACTACTATCTAACTCTAACTTCGCAATTAACTTATAGGGATTGGAACCGCCTAAAATTTTTCTTAATCGTTTAATCGTTTAACCGTTTAATTTGGCTGGCATTAAAATAATTCTAGTTCACAACAAACATAATTTCGCCTGGAGCTATGAAGCAATTTTTAAACGGTTAAACGGTTCCAATCCCTATTAACCTATGCAATAATCTAATTCTATTCTAACCCTATACCTATTGTGAGTCCTAAAAATTGAACCATAACGAATCAACGATACATAACCATGTGATTGTAGTATAATCGGGTTTGACGATCTTCTTCAATATATAGAGTTTCCGGTGATATATTAGACTTATCCCACTAATCTAGTTTATACAATTTATAAGATAATGTATATATTTAGGCTCTTCGCTTGTAATAAAATATCAGGTCATTTGTGCTTACAAAAAAACTGTCCTATAAATACTATAATCGGCTCAATACAAAGTAACTATAAACTACCTCACTATACTATAGTAGAATAAACTAGTACATTACCTGATCTATCCTCAAGTATAGTGGAGGTAGACTATCGTTCGACCTAAAGTTACCCCAATATCGGCATCAAAAATTCACCCACATAATTATTAGCCAACAAAAGATCATAATTTAGTGTAATGTACCATGATCAGAAAATTTCAAAACTAACGTCTTTTTTGTCAGAACTCGCTTATTTCTCAAGAATTTGCATAAGGAACTACCTTTCATACACTAACAAAAAGTTTTTATTGATCAATTTTACTATCTATTTGCCTAAATCCAAACCCTAATGTAGGCACTAACCCAAACATAAATGAACTTAAAGAATTTTTCATAGGGTGAAATTTTTGATGGCGGTACTGGACCTATGTCTTGTGCATATGAATTCAACGTCGAGTATTGTCTTTCAGTTTAGCCCGTACAGTGGTAAAGCCATGGTTAAACATTTAGAGTATAGATTATCTTCTTCGATTGTTCCGGCCAGTCAATATACCAAATTGGCCGTGGTTTAAGGATAAAAGAGAGTTTAGTTAGTGTTAGTGTTAAGTGTAAGGAAAAATACAACAAACCCGAATGATACTTACCAGAAGAACCAAACCGACTCACTAAATCTAATCACCTCTTTTGTCAAAACCGATAGTTGTTCAAGATTGTGTGGATTAAAAGTTAGTGTCAATGGTACTATTAATTTTTGCTTCTAGTGAAGTTCTAGTGTTTCCAGTTAACAACGCTGGTCTATATCGTTTGACCAGCCTTGTATCACTATCTACTAACCCTAATCTATTGCCTTAATCTGTACTATCAGTTATTATAATCGAACTAACAATTACGAAGACACAACCCAGTGGTGACAAACCAACACCTAAATGAAAAACAAAACAACTGATTAGTAAACAGCGAACAACCTAAACGGAAAAACCAAACGATTATTAACCAGCGATGACAGCAGCAATATTTACAAGTTGAAGCACCAATATACGATAATTCACAAGCGAGTTACTAGCATATGATGACTTTGGTGATAGCACCAAAATACAATGACCCCAAATGAAACGCAGCACCTGCAAACGAACACACCAAAAATGACAACACTGAGAACAACGACGACATTGAAAAATAGCACGACAACACCGAAGAAAAAGAAAAGCAAATATAAAAAATCGACACTATATAAAAAAAAAGTAGCAGTTAGATAAGTAAACAAAAAAATAAATATATATATATATAGATCTGTGATTTGTAGATCACTGATCCATATAACTGGAAAATTCCTCAGGTAAACATAGTAGTTCTCTTATTTTATTATCTTATTTAGTTATTATTATTAGAGTAAAATTTAAAAAAATATGTATTAAAAAAACTCACACTCTCTCTCCACCAATTTTGTAGTGGAGAATATAGAAAAACACAACGACAAACAAAACTAGATACTCAATTTCCAAAATACTAACAAGAGTTAAAACCCTTGTCCCCAGGAAATGTAGATAAGAGTGCTTAAGCATGTCAAGCTCAACAGTAGCAGAACAGAACAGAAGGATTAAAAAGGCCAGAACTTCTAATGCAAAAGAAAATGATGTTTCTTTAGATCAAAATAAGCACAACAAGGCTTTGGAACTTGCTGAAGCAAGTCAAAATACAAATCAAAACACGAATAACAACTCCTATGATGAGGAAAATTCAAAGCTACAAGACATAACCAACACAGTTATGAATAACAAGGGCAAAGAAAAAGAAACTTCCTCTCTCGAAGAAAGAGAAGTGCAAAACACAACAACAGATACGCTTCAAGATCTACCAAAACAAACAGAACACATGGAGACACATGAACAGATAAACAAACATGTGAACATCCAATCAAAAAAGATAGATAGTCAACCAGAATCCAAACAGTAGTCAAAATTATTTGAAGAGCAACATACTCAATATATGCCTTCAGAAAAGGATTCATACTAAAAATGAATTTGCTTTAATATTTGAAACTCATAATCTTGAGAATATCTTGTTGCAGCAAAACCTGTAATAACTAAGAACAGAAGAACTCACCTTGAAATTATCCTTTCAAATGAAGAGAAACAGCAATTCTATGCGACAGAAGGTCTTATGGTCTTTGACCAAACTCTTTAAGGATATATTCCTGTTAATATTCGCCGCAATTTTCTTTCAGTCAAATTTTGAAACACCCCTATAGGTAAGAAAGAATATATTTCAGAAAAAATTAAAGAAGCCTTTCAAGATATAGGTACTATTTTCTTAATCAAACTACTAGTATACAAGGGAACCTCGGTTCTTTCAGACCAATGAGTGATCATCTTTGAAACAACAGATGATCCAGATCTTCCAAGCAGAATCTCTAGATTTACAGATATCTAGAACTATAAAGTCATAACTGATTGGAAAGAAACTTCCAAACTCTGCTTTTTTTGCAATAAAGCAGAACATGTCAAAAAGGATTGTCCTGAATACAAGGCTTCAGTAGAGGCTAGAAATTTACAAAAATTATTCAAACTCACCAGAATGCAAGAGAAAAAGCAACTTTTACAACGAAAGGTAGAAGAACCTTTAGTTTTAAGCCCAGATAACCCCTATATCAAAGAGGAGAAGCATGAAATAACTGTTGAAATGACGGTAGCTGAATCAACTACAGAAAATACAGAAATAGATAAAGATATGAAAATAGATCCAGAGATCTCTG